AAACGTGCGCTACAGTTGGTTTTGGCTTTACTTCTCACTGGATGAAAAACCTGCGCAAGTTTTTTAAGCCGATCGTTAATGCAAAATCAATTATTTTTCGACACTTGAGTGAAAAAAGTTCTGACAAAGAGTTACCTGTTTTGATGACAGGCGTTGAGTATTGATTTATTGAACATCTTTACTTCATTATTTACATTTCAACACGAATGAAATAAATACTTCTGACAGTACAAAGAATGTAAACTGGATGTGGTCGAAACTAGGTTAAAATTATGAATACTTATATATAATCCCGGGGGAGATCACTCACCGAAAACTTGGGTTTGGGTATGCGCGCGATTCGTGATACCCTTAGATTATTTAAGACAGATATACATATGATTTTCCTTTAGCACTAATCCCAAAATTGCAGCTCTATTTCAGACCAGACATTACCAGGAACTTCGTCAGTTTGCTTTCACATTTGAAAAGGCTTCAAAACCCCGATGTTCATTGAATTCGCACTTCTCATGAAACGAATATGACAAAGATTAAAAACGTTTTGTCTAGGAATAATATTCCTAACTGTTGGACAGAGAAGACAAACTAAAGCGCCGCATTTTCCTGTAAAGCTTATATTAGGGGAGTACCCTAACCACCACCGACCGCCCCCGAGTAAGTAATGAGTGATCGTGGATAAGGTATTCCGTCGTGCTTTCACCACACAATATTATTTTAGCCTAAAACATAACCGCAGTTTTGTAGGAAGTCAACATACGGTAACAACGAGGTCAAGCGCGGGGCAGCGACTTCGGAAAGATTAGTTTTCGTGGGCACGTTGCTCTGCAGATAACTTCCTACTTCCGCTCCTTACGTCAGAGAGCAGAATTCTTTTGAAACAAAAGTTGGTCGGGTTGTCACGCAATGGAACAAAAGAGTTACGTAACGCATCTATCGCGGTCATTGCAGCAGAGAGACGTTTGTTGTTAGCCAGCTGCGATTAACAAGGAGGCTCTTTCTTTGGAGATTGGATAGAAGTGGACCAGACACCGGGCGCGAAGGCTGAAATAATTACTGTCTGGTTTGAGTTAGCAGGATCCATAGGTCATACGAGCCATGCAAGTCGTAAAGAGTTTTGGTAAAATTTGATAATTTATACGCCCTGTGTTAGCCTGTGTATCTCACCGATTTTTTTCTTTTTCGGGGAGGGAGGCTGTGACACAGGCTAGCCAAAGACAAAAAGAGATGAAAGGAATAGTTTAAGCAAAGGTCAAAATAGTGGTTTGGTGAAAGATAAAATAAATGAACGATTTTTTTGCTGTTTCAGATCGCCCGTTTCATTACATGCCATTTTTTGAATTTGAAAACGTGATTTCTAATCCTATCTTTTTGACGCGAACTTTTACACATTTAGCAGACTGTTT